CACCACCTTGCAGTTGTATGTTGCTGTGAACCAGTCAAGTTGCTCTTACAGTTTATATCCATGTCTGTGAAAACATGCTTTACACACGTCTCCCCCCTGAAAACACAGAAGATCCGGCTGCTGTGGATCAGAAGGTAGAGCGGGTCGTCCACTCATCAGAAGATCAACGTCCAGTCTGCATGTCCGCATGTTCAGTCCGCATGGTGAAGTATTCCCGAAGTAGCTTTTGCTGCTCCACAAAACTGAGCAGCGGGTGGCTTCTTGTACAGTAGCCTCGGCCACCAGCGTATGAATGCGTGTGTGAATGGGTGAACGTGACTCGCAGTGTAAAAGCGCTTTGAGTGGTCTGAAGACTAGAAAGGAGCGATACAAGTGCAGGTCCATTTACCATGTATACAATCAGCACAGGTTCAAGATTAGAGTCACCAATTCAGTATCTGACCAAATGTCTCCCCGTCTGTTCCTGAGATATGACGTTAAAACCTGATGATGTCACAGTCAAGCTGACCTTTGACCTTTTAACCTTCATTATTTTACCCTGTTAGACATTTGTGTCAAGTTTGGTCAGAATTAGTGAATGAATTCTTCAGTTATGGACAAATACATTTTTTGTGAGGTCACACTGACCTTTGACCATTAAAGTCTAATCACTTCATCACTGAGTCCAAATGGACGTTTGTGCCAAATTTGAAAAAAATCCCTCAAGGCGTTCTTAAGATATTGCATTCATGAGAATGAGATGGACTAACGACCCCAAAAAATAATGCGCCTGGCCACAGCTATCACCGGCGCAGAGACATAAAAACAAAGCGTCTGAATACTGATTTTGACGTCAATTACCATGGCAACGATCAAGGCATTCAGGACAGCCCCAGTAACGTTAGTGTAGAAATCACAAACTCAGATCAGTGTATGGATTTTTATAATGTGTTTCTGTTTTGTTTGTCTTTGACTGAATCTCAACTTTCATGCAAGCTTAATATTTTCTGTATGACCTTCATCACTTCATGTTTCGTATGCTGATGTTTCGTCTTTGAATAAAAGAAGAAAACTCACTTTGAGATGCATTCAAGGACACTCAGACTTCCAAGAACTGATGAATGAATTTGGTCTGATTACTGGATGTCAAAATCATCTAATATCTCATGTCTTTACTTACTCTCTCACACACGCACGCACGCACCCACACACACACACACACACACACACACACACACACACTTTGGCAGACAGGAAGTGTGTTTCTGTGTTGTTGGACCTTTCAGAGAATTTTAAAAAAGCAGTAAGAAGAAGAGGAAAAAGGCAGGTTCAGAGTGGGCAGGGCTTGAGGGTCGAAGGTCAGGTGAGGATGTACTCATAATAAACACACACACACACACACACACACACACACAACCCTGCCTGAAGCCTACAGGTGTGTTTCTACAGGTGGAAAAACTCCTCCTCTGCTCTGCAGTGCCTCCTCCTGACAAAACCCACACCTACTAAGGGAGGGGGAGAGGGGTGAGGAGGTGAGTGAGTGAGGGGGGAGGAGTCAGGGAGGTGAGGGGGGAGGGGTTGTCGGGGTTGACTGGTTGAGGACCTCACCTCGAGGCCCGGTAATGACGGGCCGGTGATGGTGTGTGAAAGCCGTTCGGGGGGAAGAGGAGGAAGAAGAAGAGGAGGAGGTGGAGGTGGAGGAGGTGCCGCTCAGCGAAGGCACGGCGCCGCAGAAACCAGACTTCTCTGACTTCTTTAGAACGCCGGCGGGCGACGGCATCCCTGCCAAGAACCATGATGATGAGGATGAGGAGCGGGTCAGAGGCAGCGTGTCTTTTTCTTATTTTTACATATTTATGCACCTCCAGTGGTGGAGAGGAGGAGGAGGGGGGAGGGAGGAGGAGGAGGGGGAGGAGGAGGAGGAGGGAGGAGTTGATCTGGGCGGGGTTTGGACAGTAGGGAGGGAGGAGGCCGACAGAAGCAGGGGGGCTGCAGGGTGTCACAGGAGGAACATGTGTGCTAACTTCAGTTTGTGACTCTCAATGTGATCGTGACTTCATTATCGCTGAACACGACACTAACTGACTGAAGTTTATTTAGAAAAACTAGTTTAACAATAATATAAGAAATAAGATTAATAAAGAAACAATAAAAAAATGCAAAAAAGGGCCAACACACAGTGACAAAAAACTAAACAAAACTGAAGAAAAAATTAACTGACTAAAAATTAAACAAACAAGCAGTTATTGTTTATATTATTTAACTTAATTTGATTATTATGCTATGATAAAATATTTTGAAAAAATATTTATGATACAAATAAAATATTAAATAATAATGCATAAAATAATAAAATTAATAATATTAAAAACAATAAAGACAGAAAGCAATTCTATAAAAAATTATATAATTATTTATATATGAGAATAAAGAAATAACAATAAATAAAAAAGAGAAATGATAATTAATAAAAAAATATAATAGTAAAGTAAGTAATGTAGAAAAATATTTAAAAGAAATCATATATTAAATATTAAAATACTAAATAATAATATATTAAAAACGAATTAAAATAAAAATGAACCAAGAAAGAAAACAAATCAAAACTATCTTTGACTTAAAATTGGAAAATGTCTATATTGTTATTAAAAAATTTAAATAAATTAGAAATAATCATAAAAAACAATCTTTTTGTGATAGAATACAGAAATAAATTTTAAATGACTAAATTATTAATATAAACTAGAAAACAAATGTAAGAGAATATATACTATAGAATACATACATTTCTTATACATATATAAAACTGCCAATATACTATTTAAGTATATAAAATAAAATAAGAGTATAAAAGTATAAAATAAGAAATATGCCAAAAATATTATTTTGTAATGTACTAATAAGTCAGTGTCATTAATTTTATCTTTTACCATACAACTTAGAAATTAAATAGCTATAATAATAATAATAATAATAATAATAATAATAATAATACATGATAGTGTCTGTCAGTTATTTGACAGATTTAAGTCTTTTTAAATGATCAAAGTCTCATCACAGCCTGAGAGCTCTTTGGAAACTTTTGGCTATATTATTATAAATCATAACGTCCCAGTGACACGTGTCTCCAGGAGAGAATCAGACTCTGTTTCTGTTTCTGCTGCTGAATTCATTAAACATCATTTACTTCCTGTCGCCTGCACTGCGTCGTGACGGAGGCAGAAACCTGCATGAATACATGTCGTGTGTGAGTGCAGAGGTCAACACAGACGCTGAGCGACCTGAACGCATCAGCGTTTGAGATGCACCTGGAGGGGGCGGGGCTTATAGTGATGGACGGAGGTGCAGCAGGAGGAGGGGGAGAGTGAGGGGAGGCTGTGAGCGTGTGTGTGTGTGTGTGTGTGTGTGTATGTGTGTGTGTGTGTGTGTGTGTGCGTGTGTGTGTGTGTGTGTGTGTGTGTGTGTGTGTGTGTGAGTGATGAACAGTTGAAGAGGTTTTGTCAGGTGGAATCGAGGCAGAGTCTGCTCAGCACTTTCTCCTTCCTCACCCTGTTTACACCTCTATCTATCTATCTATCTGTCTGTCTGTCTGTGTCTGTCTGTCTTTTTCTTTTTCCTCCTTTAATTTCAGATATCACTGTAACACACATTCACACACTCATATTTGCAGGTGTAAATGGAAGGAATTACAGTCTCACAGAAGTGTGTGTGGTGGTGACAAATACACAACTAGTTCATAAATAGACACACACACGTACCTTAATAATCACACACACACACACACACACACACACACACACACACAGTATCATGCACAGTGCTGACGTCCATCCAGGAGCTTTTTTTTCCTTCACTGACATCGACTATTAAGATCAACAGCCATGATGATGTCATCAGCATGCTGTCAGGTGGGCGGGATCAGGGTGAAGTGGATCAGGGTGGGGGAGGGGTGGGGGTGATGGGTGCTGCACCCAAAGGTGCTTCAAGACTGAGAAAAGGATGAAAGGAAAGAAGGAGAGGAGAGAAGGAAAGGAGAGAAGGAGACAAGACAGGAGAGGAGAGACAGAGACCAGAGAGGAGATGAAGGAAGAGAGCAGAGATGGAGACTAGAAAGAAGAGGAGAAAAGGAAAGGAAAAGGAGTAGACAACAAAGGAGACAAGAGTAGGAAAGGAGTGAAGGAGACCAGAGAGGAGAGGAGACAAGAAAAGAGACAAGAGAGGAAAAGAGGAGGGAGGAAATGATGACAGAAATATAGAGGAGGAGAAAGGGAGGAGAAGGGAGACAAAAGAAGAAAGGAAAGAAGGAGACAAGAGAGGAGAGGAGGAGGGAGAAAGGGATGAAAGGAAAACAGCCGAAGGAAAAACAGAGGAGAGGAGAGAAGGAAAGGAGAGAAGAAAAGGAGAGCAGTAAACAAGAGAGGAGAGGAAAGAAGGACAGGAGAGGAGTAGACAAGGGAGGAGGAGAGGTGATGCGAGAGGAGAAAATAGCAGAGGAGAGATGAAAGGAAAAAGACGGAAAGAAAAAAGGGACTAGAGAGGGGTGAAGAGATGGAAAGGAGAGAGAGGAGAGGAGAGGAGGAACTGCGACTAAAAACGGATAGGATAGGAGACAAGAGAGGAGAGCTAAAGGGAGGGGACGAGGAGATGAGAGAGGAGAGAAGGGACAGAAGGAGGAGAGGAAATACAGTGAAAGACAGACGTAGTAAAGTTGGAAGAAAAATTGGGGGAGAGACAAAAAGAGAGGAGGGGAAAAGGGAGGAGGATGCTTGGAACGAGGAGGTGAAGAGATGCAGAAAAAGGAGAGAGGCTAGAAAGTATGAGTGGAGGATGAGGAGGAGAATGAGGAAGAGGAGGAGTGGAGTCCACCAGACTAAACCACGACACAACACCAAACGACAAACCAAAAACCACCACTGTATCTACCCATCAGGAGGAGGCGGAGAAGAGGAGGTGGAGGAGGTGGAGGTGACGGTTTCACAGACACGTACAGAGAAAATAAAAGGCGTGTTGACAGTCTTTACCTTGTCGGGAGATGAATGAGCTAGCTAGAGAGCCACGCAGCTTATATCCAGCTTTCCAACGCAAGACGGAGGAAAGAAAGAAAAGAAAGCAACAGAGGAAAGAAAAAGAAAAGCAGCATGAATATACTGAGAGAGGGAGGAGGGGAGAGGTGGAGGCAACACCTCAACAATTTAGTACTTATAGAAGAGTGTGTCCCAGGTCTCACACACACACACACACACACACACACACCTCTGTTGACACCTGAATCCCAGCGTGTAGCTAGCTTTAGCCTGTTAGCTGCTAGCCCCAGGGGAGGTGTGTGTTTCCTGTGAGCGTACAGTTGGACCCCATCTCAGACCACATCTCAGCAGAATGACATCCGTTCAAATCGGACACGTACTTGACCCGACTCCGCTGCTTCCTGTTATCTCAAGCTGCCCTTCAAAGTAAAAGCTACAGACGAGCGCTACCTGCTGCTTCAGTCAACTCTGCGTCATCCACTTTGTGCTTCCGCCTTTAAGACCAGGGTCATGTGACTGATGGGGGAGGCTTAGCTGTAGAGAGGCGAAGTCCCTCCCCTACTGGTGGACCACCATCTGACCTTTTTCGAAAAAAATATATGCGGGACTTAGTGTCGAGGGAGTAATATTTCTTTGATCCTGTGTGAATTGTGCCTTGTGATGTTCGTCAATTTGAAAGATAATTTTTTAAAGTTGAGCTGAGTTGTTGTAAAGCTGCTGAAGAATGTGAAAATACGCCAAAGGCTCACAGCTGCGGCTTAAAGATTGCGTTTATGTAGCTAGCATTAGCTAGAGTCTCAATCACAGTGTGTTCTCCGCCCCACTCTCCGCCGCTACAGACCACCTTGCTGGGACGAGAGCAGGCAGCAGCTCCGGAGACAGACCCCCAGTCAGCGGTTGTAGTGGCCCAAATCCAGCTGGATCAAGCTCCAGCTCTGGGGAACCGGACAGCCCCAACTCCCCGCCAGATCAGAAAACTTTCTGTTGCTGTCTTTACACAGATTAGACCCTGCACTGCCATTGGCCACCAGCCTGCTGTGACATTCGGCACTGAGGGGTCTACACTGGTCAAATTCGAGCCACTACAGCAGCCAACCGAAGAGGCGACATTGTGGTGGCTCGCAGCTAAATCAAGTCTCATTAGTGTTCTGGTAAACAGAGAGGGCGAGGCGAGGAGGAGCTGCTGAGGAATGAGCTGCACGCAAGATTTTACAAATCAATGTACGGGCTTATGGGGTTAAACACTGGGTTGCTTTATGAAGCGTGTGCATAAGACAGTGGTTGTCTAGTGGGAGGGGCTTAAGGCATAGGAGGGAGAGCTGCAGGAGGACGGTGTGTTTTCAAGTTCTGCCTCTTATTAATTTTGTTTTTGGCTTTTTCTATATTTCTGCCTGTCTGAGCTTTGAGTAGGAATTAAGCTTGGATAATGAAGATGAGGCTTCAGAATCAGACATGGAGGAAGTCCAGAGAGAGGAGCTGGAGGCCTGAAAGGGAGAAGTCTTTTATTTTGGAGGGGGGTCATAGCGATTACTCTGTTGATGTTGTTCAATTAAAATTTGTGAAAATGTTAAAGGAGATGACGCATTTAATTAAGATTTCACACCTGCCCTGTTTGGTTTGGCTCAATCGAACTTGGGAACTGGGTTTGTTTGCCCCCTCTGTGTGGTTCATTTGTGCAGGTGTGAACACACCAAAACACCGGACCGAGACCTTCTTGAGGAGGTGGTCTCGGTCCGGGTACAAACAAACTCTGGTGCGGTTTGTTTGTGTTTCTTTGTTTGTGTAACCCTTGTTTTCAAACTGTATGGTTTGACTAAAATGAACAATGACAGCAATATAGTCCACGATGAGCAGCGCTAAAATCAACCTGCGTAGTTGTCCCTCCATTGTGACATTAGAAAGTGTCACATTTATCTTGCAAGTGTACTCTTCTTCAACGTTTGCTTTACTTCCTGGATTTTTCCCACATGGAAATTCTGACCAATCAAGAGCAGCTTTCTCACACAAGGCATTTGATCTGGTCCTCTTGTAAATGCTGCCGTGAGAACACGAACCAACTCTAGACAATTATACAACTTTGGAACAACATGAGTCCCTGATTCAGACCAGAAGAGACCACTCTAGGGCTGACAGCATGCTAAGAAGCTGGTGAATTTTTCATTTCTATTGTAAAGGTTTACAGATGTGTCAGCTAGTGATGGTTTGTTTGTTTGTTTCTGTCTGACATGATGAATACAGCCTAAGCAGAAAACCCTGTTATTTCAACCGGGTCTCACACTGATGTCGCCAAAAACCGGTGCTTGGTCAGTAACTTCTGGCGTCAGACACAGACAAAAAAGTTGTCCTTTCATGTCGGCATGATTCATGGCCGGTTGCTGTTATTGTTTAATGGCACCTGATAGCATCAGGGGAAATGAAGTGGGACAACAATGAAAGTTAAGGCAGCAGAAGTCCGAGCAGGGAGGGTGGGAGTGGTTATGGATGGGTTCAACAACCACCGACAACCACACAGGAGGCCGGTGTTCGCTCCTCTTAAGATTGCAAAGCCAAACCCCGTTGGTGTGGTGCATTTATTTTGAAAGAGACTGTATGCAAACTGTGTATCTTGAATGACCACATATGTGCAAAGGTCGCAGTGAGAATGTGTTGGTTATATTTTATTCCTGTTATTAATTGGTAATTCCCATGGAAATTTTTGAATACAATAGAAATTTGCAGCCGTAGTCCTGCAGCATATATCCTGCCCCTTCTCCACTCACTCTCTGCCAGATCGTCCAGTTTGCACCTGCTTAGCTTTCCACCTTTTGTCTTTGCCTACCTGACCCTCTGCCGGACCCCCACCTGGATACGTTCTGTTTTGACTGCCCACCGGGTTTTGACCCTCGCCTGCCTTTTGACTTCCAGTGAAGTGAACTATTATCTCAACCTGCCTGCCTGGGAGTCAGGCTTTTGGGTTTCAAGCTTTGTGTTATTTCACTGACAGACACTGAGTCTACTCGCTCCACCAACCTGATCAGCATCCTGATGTCCGATCACGGTCCAGTCCAGATAACAACGACACTAATAAATATGTCAACGTAAAGGATGACGTGTCCAGATACAGATACAGCTTGCGGGTCATGACTGTGTGGAGAGGATGGGGTCTTTATAAGTGAAGTCAGGTGCTGAGACACAATCACCAACATTCATTCTCATGTACCTGTGAGTCCTACACATGAAGACTAACACACACACACACGCTCTCATCCTCTCTCTCTCTCTCTCTCACACACACACACACACACACACACACACACACACACTCTCCCCTCCCTGCTGTAAGCATCACCTTCACACTGTTACATGAAAAAAGCTCCATTTCCAAAAGCTGCTTTGGAAACAGCAGGTTAAAGTTGAGGATGTGTATGAAGTGTGTGTGTATGGTGGAGGAGGAGGAGGTGGAGGAGGAGGAGGAGGGGGAGGAGGCAAGGCGGGGTTATTAGAGGATGCGGTTGTCATGGCGATGGGGGGGGATTGCCTACCTGGCTCCACGTCGTGCCAGCTGCTGGCCTGGCTGCCACTGCCCGGAGACCGACCCTGACTGGGGTAGTAGGACTCCTCGCCTGGACTGTCCACGTCCTCTTCCATACACTTTATCCTCTTGGCAGAGCTGGACACACACACACACACACACACACACACACACACACACAACATGCATCATACTGTTAGTATTATAGTCTTTTAATCAGAATAATACCAGAAACTGAAAAAAAACTTAATCAGGAACTAAAAGTCACTTGTTTGAACTTTTAAAAGACTGATTGACTGATTAGGATTCGATAACATTCATGTTTGAACCAATACCAGTACCTGGAATTCGGTACTGATACCCAGTGGTACTTTTTTGTGTACTTAATTCTCATTGTAATAATATATAGAATTACCACCTTGCGATTGTATCCCTCTGCAACCTCTGAATCCATCTCCCTCAGTGGAAACAAAGCTTTGATTTACTTTAATTTCACAGATAAGAAATGTGAGCAGAGGAAAACTCTGCTAGCTGCTAGGCTAATTCATACAATGTAAAATGCCATAAGCAAGTCAGAGTTTAAAGAGGTGACAGATCAACTCCTACTGTCAGGAGAGTGTTGAGAGACGAGTCTGGGCTTTTCTGAGCTGCGTTCATAACTCGTAGATGTTTACAACACTTCACTGAAACAACAAAGCACCATGATTTATTGCACGATCCAAATTTCCTCAGAACTTGCCATTTTCAGTGTGCAGGTGTTGAGCTTTGAGGCTGTTGTTTCCCGTAGCGAAATGGACTTTGGAAACAGTATCACTCAGATAGCAGAAGAAACGGAGAATGACGGTAGAAACCAGCCGCCCAACGGCAGGATCCTCAGTCTACATCCGGTGAGTCAGACTAACACACATATTGTTGAATAAAAAGACTCAAAGCGTAAATAAATGTTTCAGGTCGCAGCGGTGCCCGTGAGACGCAGCTGAGACACAAGTCTACATGGAGTCTGTGCAGACAGTTGCATGAAAGGAAAACGTATCTGAGTGAAAAACGCGTCAGATTCACTTGAAGGTGTCCACCCCCCATTGTCCAGAGTCGCAACGATCAGTTCTGCTGACGTGTGTCACAGCCTGAATGCAGCATGCAGGTATTGAAATCTGGCACCAATAGATATAACATGAATCAGCGCTCAGGAGTACCAATGTAAGTTGGTCTGTGTGCTTAAAGTACCTAACTTGGTACCAACACTGCAGCACATCAACACTAAATAAGTTTATTGGTGCACAAACAAGATGAATAAACAGGAGTTATGATGAGACAAACAGAGACGCAGTGTCTCGCTCTTATCTCTCTCTAGTTTAGATATAATTTCAATGAAACACAGATTATCTATGTGTGTGTGTGTGTGAGCCTCCAGTTGTCCTGACCCACGCTGGTGTTTGAAGGTGGTAAAACACAGCGTGCAGCAGCCAAGGGTGTGTGTGTCTTCGTG